TACAATCCACCTTAATATTATCCTCCCATCTACATCTAGGTCTTCTAAGTGGTTTCTTCAGTTCAGAATTTCCATCCAAATGTCGTGCGCATTTCTCGTCTCCCCCACGCGTACTACACACAACGTCCATCTCATCCTCTTGAATTAACTACCTTAATTGTGTCATACATTTTATTAGTAAAGTAAAGTAAAGCTGTCCCACTATATGCCATGTAGGCGCTTGGGGGGAGAGAAGGTATAGCTCTTACTCATTCTTGACCTTGGCACCAGATGGGGGTGAGTGGTCGGCATCATGCCCTGGCCGCGCTTTACCCCGGGGAAAGGACCCCGGCACCCATCGGATAGGAGGCTGGGTGGGCCCAAGAACCAGTCTGGATGTAGGGGCTAGAGGAAAAATCCTCTGCCCTTGCCAGGGATTGAACCCCGGTCATGCAGTCCATATGCAGTCACTATACTTAGTAGAATAATTAATTAAAAATAATGGCATTGAAGGAAATTAGAAACAAAGAACAAGTAATTATGAATTAAACTTGAAGATAAAATTTGTACCTGATAGTAATATTTCAGTACCCAACATAGACCATGAACGTACTGGAAAGCAACTTTGTGCCTGAATTCAATGTTGTCCAAGGCCACATCAAATTTGGACTCGTAGTATCTCTCCTTGAAGCCATCTTCCCATAATCGAACTTCATCATGGGTTTCTTCTTCTTCTTCATCAGATTCTTTATCCATCTGATCAGATTTTCTCTTCTGACCTCTGCCACCCTGAAGAAAACGATGATCACAATTGAAACTTTCTTATTCAACTTGTTTCATGGTAATTTTTTTTAAGTTTGTAAACACAATGACAGAACACGAAATATAGTTTAAAAAATGTCATTTTATCAATGTAGTGCACCGTACAGACTGTGGTAACCTACCGGTGAGGATGAAGGAATAAATGAACTCTTCGCCAAATACTACTACAAGATAATCAGTATGTAGCGCAAATGATGGTAACAAGAAATGAATCAAAAATTTCCTTAGAAAGCTTGAAGGCAAGAGACCACAAAGACCTAGTGCAGACTACAGGATAATATTAAAATGGGGTGGAGGGCGTGGACTGAATTCATGTGACTCAGGGCAGAGACTGGTAGCGGATTCTTGAGAATATGGTAATGAACTTCAGGTTCCATAAAAGGTAAGGAATATCTTGACTGCCTGACCAAACTATCAGCTTCTCAACAAGGTCTCTGCTACATGCAATTAGTTAGTCAGTTATTATTATTATTACATCTCATCTATTCACCACTTTATGGGGTATGTACTTCCATGTACCCGAGACAGCCCTTGTCCCTAAGGTACATAGGGCAGCAGCTATTTCCGGGATCCATATTGTTTTTAGCAAGTGCCACATGTATTATAAAATAATAATATTATTATTATTATTACATCTCATCTATTCACCACTTTATGGGGTATGTACTTCCATGTACCCGAGACAGACCTTGTCCCTAAGGTACATGGGGCAGCAGCTATTTCCGGGATCCATATTGTTTTTAGCAAGTGCCACATGTATTATAAAATAATAATATTATTATTATTATTACATCTCATCTATTCACCACTTTATGGGGTATGTACTTCCATGTACCCGAGACAGACCTTGTCCCTAAGGTACATAGGGCAGCAGCTATTTCTGGGATCCATATTGTGCCACATGTATTATAAAATATTTTACAATACATGTGACACCACACCACTTCCTTCATTTCTTCTCTTGTCCAAGCCACTCTTGTTTTTCTTGATTGATTTTCTTGTGAGTCTTGGGCTTGTTGGCTGTGCGTGTCCATGATTTATTTACTGCAATTGGGTTTGCACCCGGTGGCAGTTAATTCTAATTTAGACTGTACTTTAACCAGGGACTTGTTTACCTCTGGCCTCAACATGGAGTTCAAAGCTTGTGAAGAACTCGCCCCACTCAGCTGTTGCTCCACACGACTGCTGTAATGCATGCTTTCTTTTCGCATGTGGTACGCCTCCTGCCGTGGATTATGCACCGGCTTTACATCCCTGCCCAAAGGCTAGAAGTAAGAAACACATTCAATGTAATGGTGTATTCGCTACCTACAGGCTAAACGTTGTAATACTGTGTGATGGATCAGAGGAAGAATATTGGCGCTGTAATTCAATGTCCTCATATTTAAATGCAGTAACATAATTATCTAAACACTAAACACATTTCACAAAAAATAAAAATTCAATTTTATTCAAATGAAAGACCTGTAACAAATACTATTTACAGTATTAATCAAATTATGAATTTACCCATGCTATTCCTTCTTACTTTATATTTTTTAAGTAAAACTAATAACCGATCAGAAATAAAAGTAATCGCATGTCCCAAGTGGTCTCTAACTCCGAGTGCTCAAAACACAGACGATAATGTAGTACTGTTAACTGTCTTACTGTAGAAATCTGTCACAGTATATACAGCTGCAGACAAGTAATTCAGTAGCACGGAAAATCTAAGAAAACCGATATTCTCTGCTTACAATTATTACGTTGCGACTACGCAAAAATATCAGTATTCCAAAAGACTGTCTTCACAGTCATCCCAGCTATGTGAAATTCAAAATTTAGAACCCTTTATAAAACATTCTTTGAGTCACAAACTAGACGACGAGATGGATGGGGCATGCAAGAAGTTAGAACTGCATACAAAATTATGATCACAAAACATAAAGGAAAGAAACCACTTAGCAGATGTAAGCATAGATGGAATGACAATATTTAGACAAATCTTAGAGAAACGGGGAATGTCCCGGATTAATCTGTCTTAGGATATGGTCCAGGGGTAGGCTAAAAGGAAACTTTTTTGACCAGCTGCTTTTCAAAAATGGCATAATTTTGGCAATACTGACTCACCTGAGGAGCAAACTGTCCTTTTGGAACCCAAGCAGGTTGCCACTGACATAACATTTTCGTACGTCTCTTCTTGGCCTTCTCCCTTTCCTTGAAAGCAACTTCATTTTGCTGTCGTTTCTTGAAAATTTCATCTTCTACGTCACCCAAGTCAGACATGATAAGTTGAACACGTTCTAGGTTAACATTGCCACTGTCAGTCAAAAACCCCTGTAACATAAAGACTCAGTTGGCCTTTACAACAGTTTACAACAAAATCATCACACAAAGGTTTGTTTTAAAGGTATTTTAACATTTTAACTTTAAACATGCCACAAATCCCTCGGACAGACGGACCTAACTGAGGATCGAATGGAAGAGGAGAATTGAGGAGGCCACGGACCAAATACAGACCAGAGAGACATAGAAGAAGAAGTATGCCATAAATCTAGATAACACATGCAAAGCAGAAATTTAAAATTATCCGATAAAATATAATTTAAGCCACAGATGTTGCCAGAACATAATACGTAATTTTGCACACAATCTTGAGACAGAGGGAACAAGTTTTTGTTTCACATAGAAATTACAAAGCTCCATGACATGCATCATTCTCCAGCCTTCTGATACTTCATCCGTCACAGCACCAAATACCTTCAATCTGTCCTCTTATTGCAAGAGACCGAGTTTCACATCCATACAAAAAAAAAGGTAAAATTACAGTTCTGTATATTTTAATCCTCTGTAATATTTTGAATTTCTGAGGTGAGATTTTGAACCACAGATGTTTTTTTAACTTCTGCATATAACATATAACAACATTATTCAAATGCACTTACCCCAGTCTTGTAAACAGTTCTCTTGTATAAATTTACAAGTCTATCAATGGCTCCTTCTCTAATTTCTAATGATGGCAAATGAGGTAGAAAATCATTCCCCACAAAGAAACACATGAAAACCCAGTCATCTATCGCTCTTTCGAAATCATATTTGAACGGAAGATTGGGCATTTCCAGTTCCCTCTCCAAGTATTCCCGAAGAATGTTGAGACGGACAAATATGAACTCCACTTCGGCAGAAAAAGCTGGCGCCACTTCATCATTTGCACCACACAATTCTTTAGCAACTCCAATGCAGTCCTTCATTTCATGTCCTGCAAGGAACACGGAACATAATATTTCAATATTTATTCAAACTGGTTTCTAATCCACAGTGCTAGCGTGTTAGCAAATTCCTCTTGGTAAAAATTAATAAAATAAAATCCCTAAAAGTATAAATAAAATTAGTTACTGGAAAGTGCACGTACCCATTTGTCCACAGATGTCACAGGGTTTTGGTTTGTTCGGTTTGAATTCCTCCCGAATAATGGTGAAATTCGGTTCATGCGTCGCTAGTCCCAACATTATCAAGTCGGCATCGGCACCACACAGGCAGTGCTGGGTATTCGGATCATGATCCGGTTGTGCTGGAAAGTAAACACACAACTGCGGAGTAAAGATATAATCTCTGTAAATAGTCTTGAAAGAATCACATCTACCTCTCAATTATGTGATTACGGTCATGCCTTACAAGCAGCGAACCCAGTGTTTCTTGCTCCTACGTTTTACTTACATCTCTGCTTCCGAATGTAATCCATGATCTTATGCTCTCCTTCTCCTGGCACATTTGCATCTGAAAGGATCACTTTGATTCCTCTCCATGCTGGGTCATTGTTCATTCGATCATGAACATAATAGTGCAAGCAAGATGATAACCGAGCCATGAACGGCGTTCCCTAAACAACAAAGACGCTAAATCAACAGAGATTAAATTAAAAGAATCGCATATGGGATCAGATATGTCACAAATCAAGATGCATCACATCGATAAGTAGAGGCACCAAAGGTGGTTATACATATCTGAAGTAATCTTTCGCAACCCACATTAAAAGCAGTTAATTATGAAATTTAATCTTCAATGCATTTACAAAAGCAAACCCAAAACCACCAACCATTAATAATGCATAAGCAATCTTGACGACAGCTTGAGATGGTAGAAATTACCGGATGCAGTTTAGAAGCAGCATACAGACCTGGCTGGAAATACATCTGATTATCCCTAAAGCCCAGCTGTCTTTGCTCAAAAAGGAAAGTCATAGGAAACACGTTTTTGAACGTACCTTGAAATATCAATACTTCTGTGTTGTCTAAATTATTCCCTATCAGTATCACACTGTGAAACCCATCTACCAACTGTCGCATAACAAGAAGAATAATACCAAATCATGCACTATACTGGAAACTTCCAACCCCATGTTTGAAGGTATTAACGTACAGGAGTGATGCAGTTACTGTCAAAATGGCTTCCTTTTGGTTTCTCCGGTGGAAGATGGCATCCCTTTGTTGCCAAATCAGAACGGATCCGTGTGACCTCCTGAATTTTTTCTACAGTTTCCTTTGATGCTCGAAATCGGCGGGAACGCTGCTGATTCATCTTCGCTCGAGGAGCCTGAAGAGTTCATATGAAATAAATGCAACTCATTCTCTTACAACATTAAACACAATACAATTAACATCAAGGAGCAGAATTCTGTGTTGAACAACAATCGGCCAGTTTAAAGAAATTTGACGCCTTTAAAACATTCACTACGATGTTCACAAAAGCCCATCAATAGGCCATAAACTGATTAACACTTTCAAGACCCAAATATATACGTTCTGTACTCCTATCACATGAAATGTTACAGTTGGCTACAACTCTTGCTTCATATTTGGAATGACCCGCTTTTTCTTCTCAGCCCAAAAATCAATTCATCTCAGCTGAGGTTTTCATGGCTTTTCTCAGACCCTCCAATAAAATGCTAAAATAATATCTTAAAATAAACTATGCAGCTTCTGTCCAATAACAAAGCTGTCGCACCACACACCATGCAGGTATTTGGCAAGACAGAAGATATAGCTCCTATTCATACTTGAATATACCAAGTCAGTAACAACATAAAACATTATGGTTTTCACATCCACAATATTCTTTGTATAGAAACATAAAACATTAAAATACACAATCAAAAAAAGTCTATAAACTATTATCAACAATTCTTCTCATAAAGTACACAGGCTATAATCAACATAAGTGAAGTAACATGAAGACAAAGATTTATAGTAAACATTTAACTTCATGAAATAAAGTCTTACAATTAACCCAGAAACAGGATTAATAAAGTCTCTGTTCTTATGTAGAAGATTAATTATTTTAAATGGATATTAGCATGTATTTACCGTGTTTATTGTGTTCTAATGGACAGAATTATTGTGGTTCCCTAATAATTACAAATTTCTACTTACAACACCATCAATAGCCATGTACAGCAATTTGCGGGGTCTCACAATTGCGAAAAGTCGATCAATACATTCAAAGATAGCTATCATCATCTCATCTTCATTCTTGGGTGCAGGTCTGCAAAAAAATAGAAATGGCTTATTTACATATCAGTCAATAGCATATTCATATCTTTATTTATTAAGAAAGTTTTCTTTCAACTCATCCACACTAAACACTTGTGGATCACGTTGCTCAGATACTGCCAAATGTATGGATATTTATCATCTTTGTGTTATGCTGTCCTGTGTAGGCACACAGGCCTTGTAACAGGCTGATCACATATCCAAGGATTCATCCTAAATGCCTAAATAGCTTAAGAAACCACTCATATGTGAGCTGGCCAAGGTCCTTCAAGACCTGTACAGCCATGGAGTAAGTAAATAAATAACTCATAACCTCAAATTTTGAATTACCTTGTAAAAGATATTGATAGGGTCAATAAAAGATTAGTTATAAAGATTTATAGTTTTAAGCAACATATTCTGTAAGAACCTGAGGTGCTGTGTACTTTTTTTGTTATGTCCAAGGTCTCCAAACTTCTCTGTTCACAGAATTTTAATGGTCATAGATCAGACTATGAAGGTTGATTTTTAAATTTAGATGTCAAATATATGAACCTAGGCTACCTCCATTATGAAACTGGCACAATGAATTGGGTAAATCATATTTTTTTTTCATAAAATGTGTTTTTCTTTCACCAGACAAAAATGGATCAAAACTGTGGCATAAGAAAATATTGCAATGATTATCAGGCACATTTGTAGATACTTCATTTGTCACCCTTGTATTTCCTGAATGTCTTTTCTTACTTACTTGTCTTCTGGATGAGTACAAGGGTGAATGATGCCATTCATATCCAGGTACAGGTTATCAAACTCCACTCCATTTGGATTTGGCTTACATGCATCCACAGGAGTTTTCACACCATTTACCTCCCTTGGCTGAAAATTACATGGTTTAAATTATACTGTATATTGAAATTAACACCAGTCATATGCAGTGTTGTTAACAGCCTGAATGCACATTACTTTAACACAGAACATTTTTACCAGTGCATTAACTCTTTAAAGCACAGTGGTAACTACAGGTACCACCTGTATGACTATTCAGTAACTCTGCATTCCATCAAGTGGGTGTAATTATGAGTTTTAAAACAGATTTTAACCAGTGGATTTTTCTAATGGAAATGCATTAATGATTCCAAGAGCAAGAAATTGAATTTTTAAATATTGTAAGGAAAAAGTTCTTATTTCAAAGGGTTAAACACTTTCACATTGAGTAAGCATTATGAGTAACAGCATATTGTGATAGCACGAGTTATTATGCTTTCCCAACACAGTATTTATGAAATAATCTTCCCACAGTTTCTTGAACATGCCAACAGGCTACAGACAAGCCAAGATATTATTTTAACAGTAAAGTTGTCTCCATGACTAAAGATGGCCTATGAGGACCAAAAAGCGTCTGTTTGTTAGAAAATAAACTATGCAAGGGCAGTTGGCTCAAGAAATTTTGCGTGTTCAAACTTTTATTTTAAGAAGAGCTTAGCATAAATTACTTGGTTAACCTAAAAAAAATAACATACCTTTTCTTCAATACATGGCACAATTACAGAAGTGTATTTCCTACTAAGCCAACGAAAGAATGCCGGAACACCCATTCTGTATTATATGGTACGAATTCCTACTTTTGTAGTTTGCACATTCACTATTTAGTTTGCGGTAATTCACAAATTCGATATTTTAGTTTATTTTTTGCAAACCACTTAGTAGCCTTCACTCCATTGAAGAGAAGAAACGCGCAGTCTTCTCCCTACGGTTTGGTTACAGTAATCCTTGGTACATATTAGTCTACACTCCCTCGTAATCGGAGAATAAAATAATATTGATAGCGTTTAAGTCTGTGGAAGAGTTATAATTCTTTTCTGATTACAAAGTTAGGCAAATAAATTATATATGTATTTAGTGGTTCTAATCAGCCCTATTCCAATGTTAAATAGTTTTATTCAATAGGTTTTAAGATGGAAACCATGCGTTCTGAAACGATATTCATGGACACCTAACCACACTAACATCATTCAATAACATTTCATGCCATCCACACGAACGCAGATTTGCAGCATTACTGAATTAATTACATTAAATGAGGTATTAGGTAACTGCCAGAAATTATACACTCAAAAGAAATCATCTGGAATGATTTTCTGGCATGTGGGGGTCTAAGCAGGTAAAGCAGCTGACCAATTTAACCCCTGTAGGCTAATCTCAGCCTGCATTTCTACATTGTCCAAAGCAGCATAACCAGCAGTTACCACAAGAGGACACAATACTTTCCAAGACCAGAAAAAACACTGAAAAATAGTCATAACCTGCCACAAGCACAAAGTAAAATGCTATGGGTAAAAGTACGACACCACACATGAAACATCAGGGAAGAGAAAGGAGAAAGTAGGAAGAGTTTAAGGTAATGAAAGGTGAAGTGCCAAAAGATGGTCATTATATAATCTATACACAAATGGATGTGTTTTATAATAAAGGTAATGTTTATTTCTCACATAAGTCTAAGAATACATCAAATTCTTTGAACTGTAAGTTAAACACAGAATGGAAGGAATCTTTATAATTGAAGGACAGCTGCAAAAAAGACAAGAAATTCACAATATAACTTTACATGATATAATATGGTCCTTTTCAACTTCTGAGAGTGGAATGTATATTTAATATAGGATTTACAAATCCAAGTTCTATGCTAACTGAAACATGATCACACCACAAACAATGCATACACCAATTATAATCATGAATAAAAAATTGACAGTGGAACCACAGTTCCGGAGAATTTGACGTAAATACGTTTATACGGAAAGGAAGTTTATATATTGGCTTTATTCTAAATATTTCCTTTATACATGCTTTACAATTGAGTAAAGTTTGATTAAGACTTTTCTTATTTAACTTGAATTAGTTACGCTTAAGATGGGTCGGTGGTAGCTGAATGTAATGTAAAGTAATGTATTGTAAGGTAAGGTAAGGTAATGTAATGAAATGTTTTATAGGTAACAGCAATGCCGAGTAAACAGATGACGTTTTCTAGGTAACAATAATGATGAGTAAACAGATGACGTTTTCTAGGTAACAATAATGCCGAGTAAACAGATGACATTTCCTAGGTAACAACAATGCCGAGTAATGTAATGTAACGTTTCCTAGGTAACAACAATGCTGAGTAAACAGATGATGTTTCCTAGATAACAATAATGCCGAGTAAACACGATGTTTCCTAGGTAACCAGGTTACACTTTTTTGTTTCCTTTTTTTGCCGAATGACCCTTCCTTATAGACGTATTTACGTCAAAAAATAAATAAATATCATAAAAATAGAAACAATAATTTATGCCATGACCTGGCTATATAAACATCAAATTATAAACAAATATCACTTCTTATCCTAAGTCATGCATTGTACCATGAACACTGCTTGTGACACAGCATGTCAGGAATGTTTCTCATATCCAACTGAGGAAATTATTATTGAGTAAGAGTATTCAAGTTTCTTTTGTTATGAAGTTCCATACACACATAGAGACAAACCAAAGATAAAGTTGTAAATCTTCAACAAATTTATTTTGTCAGGTGGGGAAGATTCTTACATTGTCAAAATAGAACAGCGTTTCTATGCCAAACAATATTACATCCTATCACTGGGTAAGCAGAAAATACTGAAGAAATATTTTTTGGTAAAGTGTTTTTTCCTCTCCTGAAAAATTGAATTTTTCTGCAATTTTAAAACCTTATCTTTGGGCTGACGATATGAGTACAGGTGATGATCAGCACTACCTAGTTTCTGCAAAATATTGGCAATGCGATGCTCTATTCAAGAAACTATTTAGCACTCGTACATTTATTTTATCTGTATTTACAAACTGTAAACAGTAATTTCCTTTAGCATGCTTTCATTATCTGGATGACTATCATTTGTTTGGACCCCTCAAGAATACTTTAAGAACCAGTGTTTTACCAGTGACCAGACTGAAGGAGGTGGTAAATATACAACTTATAGAGTGGCCAAAAGCATTTCTCTGAAGCTTGTGAAATGCACGACCAAGTCTGTTGTAAAGCAGGGGGACTGTGTTGAAAAATGATGCACTTGTGAGTTCTGTATTTCTGTTCTTCTTTAATTTTAATAATTACAATGCAGATACTTTTTGACGTACCTATATATTTACCACAAAATTATCATCCATTGTACAGATTTAAGTAGGCAATAAAGCTTGCAATGGAGCCTCTGTTAAATCTTACCAATGCGATGGACAGACCAACTCCGAAATATTTTTCTTGATTGTTTTTTAAGTTCCCTGCTGTGAGAAATCTCTACTTCTAGTGACGCACCATTATTAAGAGCCAGCCAAGTGTGAACTTCATTTGTGTCTGGAGAAGCAGCTGAAAGAGACACAGAATACATAAATATCCAGCCACAACTTACATCAAGAGCAGTATTCTAATAATTGTCTCTAAATGTGTGCACATTCACACACATAGGCACATGCGCACACACACAATGTACATGTGTTAGATATAAAAGTTCTTTAATATGTTACAAATATCAAAAAATTAAAATTCTAAAATATATGAAACGTCCTACCAGAAAGCATATCCTGAAGAGTGATCCTGCGTGCTGCTACCAGTTCCTTGCCAGAACTGCGAATCTCAAACACCAAAGCTGCCTGACGTGGAACATTTTCAGGGTTATCAAGCTGAAAGCCGAGATCAAACTGAGGGTTTGGCATGGCTGGAATTAGACGAGATTTTGCAAGAGTTTTGCCAGCTGCATTGCTGCCCACTCGTGTGAGTTTGTTTGGACTTGTAGCACTGGAAGAAACAAAGAGAATGTATTTTGGAAATGCAAAACAATTTCATACTTAAATATTTAAGTCCATTTATTTTAACATGTCACCCTACAAAGTGAATTTTCATTAAATTTTAAAACTGTCCAACAGAAATCTATAAAACTTCAGTGTAATTTTATATTTGCTATTTGAATAAATAACACAACTCCAGCCAATTTTTTTTATTATTTAACAATCAGTAATGAAGGAGGATGAAATATTTGAGGTATATATACGAGAGATGAGAAATACATACTAAATTTTAGCCAAAAGCCTTGAAGTGAAGAGACCATTTGGAATTACCAATCATAAATGAGAAGATAATATTGCAGTGTAAGAAAAAGTCCTGTGAGGATATAAAAGATTTAATGACTGAAGCATTTTATCTCTTCTGCCTAAGCTGAGGTTATAAATGGATGTTAAGATGAATACATTCTCCAGAGCTAATGTATGTACGTGTCCTATGGCAGTGATTTTGCTACTGATTGATGAGGAAATTTGTTGTAAATAACAAGTGTGTGTGAAAAGCTGTTGATTTTAGCTGAAAATTTAGATCAAATGACCTGCCAGCCAAGGGTGAGATTTAAATTCCTAATGTATCAGGGCAAGGGCTAATTTTCCAAATTCCTTCGATTACACATCTCACTCATTCTTTTGTTACTAGTGGTTACTTTTGTAATAAATTTCCATGGTGTAATATAGACTGTGGACAGTTGATAATGATGCCAATCATTCACTTAAATACAGACTATGTGTCACCTTTGTAATTTTATACGACAATACAGCTGTGCCACATGCGCCACATGAAGTCCTTGTGCTTGAATCACCTTTCCCTCAACTCCAAAATATATGTCAGGTCGAACAGGGGCAGAAACTTTAAGATCTGCGCACACAAACACATGTAGATAAATATTAATTCCATACGACATTAACAAATTATTTCTAGGCAATGAGGATAACACAACTCAATGAGAATAAGAGCAGAATTTGTAAGACAATCAGCAGATTTTCAGTCACCCTTCCCTGAAGAAATTCTAAAGGTATTCATAACTTTGATCTTTGTTCCATATTTAATGGCCACATTATACTCGAAGGAAAAACTGCAAAGTAGTGACACAGAAGAAATTATAACAAAAGCAGTCTCATATGAGCTGGTGGTTTTACATGAAAAGAGCCATCAACAAGCAGATCAAAACAGAATGAAATGCAGTACCTGTTGGTCTCTTATTTTTAAGACGCGGAGAGGGCTGTTTGATGTGCGGTATATTTGGCTGAGAGACAGCATGAGAGAGTCCCTCCATCTGCAGAAGTTCAGTTGCATCTGATTCTCCACCTCCACTCGGTTCAATACTAAGTGTTGTGGTTGTACTTGGTTTTCCATTGGTTACCCCGCTCTTTTCCTCATGGACACTGACTTCAGATTTAAAACGGCGTAATTTCAACCCCCTTTTCATCTGCATAACATAAGAAAAGAAATGCATGTTAATAAAATATTTTGTTTTAGAATGACACTGTATTCCTGTAATCACAAATATTTATACGGAAATGGTTCCTATTTACACATAAGCCATCACCTGGGGTAACTTTGGCCATTTCAAAGTAATTGTCCCGCCCTACATATGTGCGCACGCACATAAACATGCCATATGCGGAGAAGGTCATGTTGATTCTTTTCTTAGACATCAATGTTGTGCAGATATTGACATTCAAGGACACTGACATCACCATCAATTCACAATGCTACTGCGAAATCTTCTGACCTTTGTACTGCCAATATGAAAAAGTGACCTGGCTGTTAACAAGGGATGTCACAGTGTTCCATGACACCACTATCCAGGCATATTACATTCCACGTAACTTCCATGTGTTCAGTCCCCTTCAAGAAGGTGCCACAGGCTGTAACCTCAGGATGGATGAAGACATCATTCAATAAAATATTCTTAAATTATCTGTTGCTCAGTAGATAATAAAATTCTCCATTTTGGAGACACTGTCACTAATATCAATGGCTGATGACAGCTGACATCCTGACAAGACTATAGATGGGTGAGAGGGAATTGTCTATCACATTTGGGAAAAAGATGATTATAATGTGATAACAGTTGATAAAATTGAGGGACTGTTCTCTATGAAATGCAGATACCTTCAGTTTCATGTTTCTGAAGCTGCTGCATTCTGGAACATTCTTCTTAAATTGACTATCTGGGCTGGGTGTGAGTGAAGCACGAGGAGAACGCTGACCGCCGCCACCAGCACTCATATTTGGCAATTCCGGAACTGCGACTGCAAGATGTGGGGGATTGTGAAGGTCTGTCACTGTCACACGTGGAACTGAATGGAGAGAACTAGAGCTGGACTGTGTAGGACTAATGTTCCCATTACTTATACTATTGCCCAGAGGTTCACGTAATAAATCTGTAAACCAAACAAATAATGATTTAAGAAATTTAGGTGCTTGGAATATTAGATATTTATAAAGGACAGGTGCTGGTTACTAAGATAACAAAGTACAACCTGTAATAGTAGGATATACATGAAGAGGGAACTATGTACCCAGTGCTGTTACTATTATGCAATAGTCCATAGGCATTTTTTTTTCTGAGTACCTTAATATTATAACCATAAAGTACATCACTCCTTCTACAGTTCAAAATTCTTCCTGAACAAATGTTGGCAGTTAACTGTGGCTGGTTGTCCATATTACCTCCTTCTGGTGGATGTGGTTTGTATCCCAAGGTGACAGTGCGTGGAGGGGCTGGAGGAGGTAAATTTTCAATATGCAGTCGCAGTTTGGATCTCTCTCCAGACGGAAGTCTCGATAAACCATCAGGTTCATGTCGATTAGGCAGTCGAGGAGAACTGGTGCTGCTGTTGATACTTGGCTGATAGCACTGCGACTGCAAGTTACACGTTCATTAGTGACATGCTTTACTGTTCTCCACTTTCTACTGATTGATCTTCAGTTAATTTTATAATGATCTCTCAACTTTAGATATTATATAGTACAGCGTAACAGGATAACTGTGAATAATTTATTGGAAATTACATGAATGCAAGTGATTACAGACTATTAAAGGATCACAATAGGATTTTTCACAAAGAATTGAGGAACATCACAAACTGTAGTCAGGATATCAGGTTCAGGGACGTGGTGCACTGAAGTCTGGAGTTGCAAGTGTTGAAGGTCCAGTAAACATAAAATTCGAGTTGGTTCACATGCAAAGAGTCAATTCTATGACGGCACATGAGGCTTGTGGTGAAGCACATCTGATGACTGTGCGTATGGTTCGCATCTGTGCCAACAACATGACAGGCGAAGCACGAAGTACAAACCTGTGTCTTTATACTTACCATACACAGGTATATAACTTCCAATTAAAATTCTCCAATATTTGTATTTATCATTCAGAAACTGACTGACTACACAACTACAAACCTGTTGTTGTATCATCAGAGCATCACACAATTCGTTACATGATCGATGAAGGTAAGTGCACACACTTACCTCAGTCTCCTCTGATATAACCTTCACCTTGATTTCCACAGCTCCTGTCTTTACACCTTGTAACTGATAACTCTGAGAAGTATCCGAATTTGAGGCTTTGCGGATATCTTCCAAAGTCAACGTAACATTACCCAAGAAATCTTTCATACCAAACGTATCATAATCCCACAATACCTGAAATCATAATACAAAGTTACTGAGCAAGACAACAGTGATAAAATTCACAGTATTACAGTCATAATTTTTAATGTCGTATTCATTACATACCACCTCCAGTGTCTCCCCTGCTCTTGGCAACCCCATGATGGAATTCTCTTCCCAGATAGGATTAAGAGTTTTCTTTTTAATGCTTGATTTGTATTTACATTCTCCATTGACCTTCAACTCACAATATGGGTCACTGAAGCCATTGAGATCCTTTGAAACCAGATCATGGGCCCTGAAGGGACAGAAGTCTTATAGTACATATGTTCATATGGATGGCAGTAAGAGATGTGATCGTACATAAATATATAACATACCTAATGATGCTAACCTCCATTAAACCCATGCCATTAGAGAGAAGATTGCTAATGTCAGATGCACTTGTATCTTGGTCCCGGTGGGTTAATAACATTTTCTGTAATTAAGAAAATTGAAATATCTGCCATAAAAAAAGTTGTCTGATTCAACAGTGTTTCGGAGTTAAGGCATTTCAAATACTTTGTCCACTTCACTCTCTCTCTTTATTTATATATATTATTATAATCATGTTGGCCTCTATAACTTCATAAGACATTTGTTCATGGCTTAAGCATTTGTGTTAAACATAATGTAAAATTCAAACTGAAAACAGCTAATAACTGCAGAATGTTTTCTTTTGACTCAATGTAAAATATGTTAAATAAAATGGTAAATTACTTTATTTCCTTAAAAGGTGGTGAAATGCCCCAGCAAAACAGGGTGATGAAATGAACAATTTACTTGCATTTTCTGCTCCAAATTATCCACCCAACAACCCCATAAAATTTAGTCACAGAACTTTCATTCTATATAAAAAAATCCATACCTTTTCACATCGTACGATTACAAATGAAGGTTTACCTGATCTGATCTCGGACAAGTACATAATAACGCACACACTTTCAGTAAGATTTACACACCGCTTGCTGCATCCATGTGATGCTGTTCCTTTTCCCATGGTTATAGCTGAGGAGATCATCATCATCTGCACCCAGAGGAGCAACACTGTCATGGAAACATAACTCTGACTGAGCAACTGATGGAACAGGGTGGAATACAACAGACACTGTGATAAATGCAGGACTTGTGTTCCCACTCAGCTGCAGTTGATGATGAACTTGCCAAGTCTCATTCTGTGTAAGAATTGAAATAAGTTCAGATTGATGCAATCGTGAAGATACAATACTGATTACACATATTTTCAACAGATAGATGATTCCAGAATTTAATGATTTTCTTTTATCAGCATGACAGGTATACAATTTACAGTTTATGAAAAATAATTTACATAAATTACTGGGTACTGGGATCGACCCATTCATCAAGTGCCTGAGCACTGCGGGTCCCAACTTTTCATTGTCTTGATCTACAGACATTTGGTAGGACTCCTTGAAAGAGGGATCGGCCTGTCACAAGGCCTCTACCTGTAAAGTGGACAGCACAACACAGAAAAACGTGGACAAACATCCATGGTTTGAGTGGGATTCGAACCCACGGTCCCAGCAACCAAGCAGCACTGCGGACCCCCACATAAATTACACCAAAGAAATTAAAAAAAACACCAATCAACAATCTGTATACCCTACTTAGAAATAACAAAATTAATTTTTATAATACCTGATTCATGGTAAAGATTGCAAGTCCTAGTAGGTCTGTATCAGCCATTTTGTTTGGGCTCCAAGAACAGACAACAAATGATAATGAGACTTGCGTAAAATCACTCACGAGGAACTGAGTTCGTGATTCCCACTGAGGATTTGCTGTGCCACGCAGATAATGGGTTGTTTTTACCTGATAACAATTACAAAAAACTGATGGATAATAAATACTGTATTTTATACAAATTATACCTTATTAAATATGAATAAATACAATAATTCTTGCAGCTATACCCATAGAGTTATATCGTTTTCATGGAAACAAACGAATTAATTTTCCTTTTGTCCATAAGTTCATATATAAACAGAAATCTGTCTAAAATGAGAATAAAAAATAGATCTCTTGTGATTCTATAATGAGCAGGTTTTTCTGTATATTGGTAATAAATGTTTTATTCCTTGGAATGTGCTTTTGAAAAATAGAAAAGACAAACTGTAATGTAGTTGAACATGCTTGAAAGTAATGTTCTACATTACCTTCTTGCGACTGTTGAACAGCATACAGTACGGATTGCACTCACTCTGGTCGCCAATTGTAAGACCCTCTGCTCCGTGAATAAACACAAATATTACACCTGAAACTGCACAATACGTCAAAAAACACAAAAATGAAAATTTAACAGATGAGAAGACAAGGTCCACTTTCCAATTCAAAGGTTTGAAACAAGAACGAAGTATACAACATAATTTACTTTCAGTCAGAAATTTCTTAGCAAGGATTCAAAATGGACTGGGGGAAATTTGGAGAACAGCTTTAAAGTTATTCAATTATGCAATTAATTACAATTTTACTACTGTCTTTTGACTTATAAGATAAATCAATAAAACATGCAAACTGTCAGCCTCTAATTTCATGTTTTTACCACAGTGTATGACTGTTGTTGAGTTCCAATTTAAAAGGAACACATTGTACCAGCACACACAGACGTCTCTACTTGCCCTAGCACACGCTGCCCACATACACTCACACCTTGTTCATGCACACAGTATGTCCTACATACATATAATTATAATTCTAGCAAATACAACATACCTGGTGATGAACCTCCTCGTCCTGCTTGGGGAATAGGCCATGGCATCTCTGGTTGATCTAACTGTATAGGGGAGAGAGCTGTATATTCTAATCTCACAGAAATATTAGGGAAGTTGCTGGAACCCGAACGTGCCTGTTTCTTGTGCAAAACTGTTTCCACTCTGTAAATGTATACCACAAAACAGGACAAATAATTCAAGTGTAAATTAGACACAAGCTGTCTACCAGTGTTCAGAGAGTTGTACAGGGATGGTGTGGAAGGAATATCACAAGAGCATGGGTTTAGTATGAAAACACCTTAATAACAAAGGAACATAACACCAATATTGGTGCAAATATTATGGAATTAACAGATGTATACCACTCACCATACAGCACTAGGCTGTCCAACCAAACAGTATAGCTACCATCATTAAATTAAATCCGTGGCGTAACAGCTCCAGAGAGCCAAAGCCGACTAGCTTGACTGCTGGCCTCACGTTCACATGCCTAAGCGGAGGTTAACGATCATCTAACCAGATATGGGGTAACGTGTGGTCAGCACGACGAACCCCCAGACATTGCTAGTTTTCATGACCGGATTACGCTACTCATTGTAGCTTCCCAATTTCCTCACGATGCTGGGTTGGCACCGGTCCCATACACCGGTCAAAAATCTCATGAGAAAATTTCTTCTCCCCCGAGACTCGAACCAATGCGCATTCCGTATTGCCGATCCGAAGCATGATGCCTCAGACCGTGCGGCTACGGCGCGGGATGGCTACCATCATTATAAGTACAAAATTTCATCTGTTGCCAAGTGCACCAGATGTGTATTGTAATTAAATGTGAGCGTAATATATGTTATTTAGTCCTATTAATACCAGTCTTCAAAGATCCTATGTATGCAAGACATGACAAGTAAATCTCACTAGTACATCACCCAACTCTGAATGTGTTAATTTAACATTAATTTCCACTCTTCTCAAATTTTAAATTTTACTACCTGTAGAGGATGTTTTAAAATGACTCAGAAGTAGAAGTAAAATATGATTGCTCAATACTTTAAATATTTACAGATTACTATTCAATTCATCATCCTTCACCTACATTTTACCTAATACCAAATGCATTACCAATTATCTAACTATGAATCACACGAAATGCACAAAATGTAAGTACTGGATAGTTATATCAATTTAGCCACCATCATTTATTAAAAAAATTAAAGTGGCCATCTTACTTACATATGTACACTATCCAAGTTGTAATTTGACAACGGAAGCTCAAACTGTGCCAATGTTATGGAACTGACAAGTCGTTTACTTTTGAGTTTCACGACTAATCTATCTGTTTGAAGAGAATTTATTAAAAAGGAAGGACTTTCTTGCCATCGTGGAGAAAGCTGTGAAGTTTTTTGGCGTTGCTCACCAAGAGTCAGAACTAGCCATCGGACATCTTCTGGCATATGACCTACAAAAATAACATAGTTTACGGTAGTTTACATTATTAAAGCAGTTTCATCTGCAAACATATATCAGAAGTTAATGCTGTGTGAAAAAATCCAAGTAATCTTCTGCAATTTCTAACACTTTCGCTCACCCTAGGGCATAAAGAACACCTAAGATTCATGATAAGAGTTACTATAATACAATGTACTGTAACTGTTATGTCACAGATATTAACAGAGAGAAAAACTGAAGATGGCCGTCTTCTGAGTTGTTGCGCCATGTAGTCTGGTAGAAGTGATGATGAAGGCAGCAATGACCTCTAAAACACTGGCAAATGTCTACCAGATCACATGGCGCTATAATCCAAATGACAGCCATCTTCATACCAAATGCGACAAGAACCCGATAAACAACATCATTGCCACCGTAACCTCAAATGATCCAACAAATTTAGAAAATAATTCTGTACTAAGAATGCAGCAAAATTCTCAAACCGTGATGATGAACATCACGACAGAACAGACAACTACCTTGACGAAAAGGAGACTACCTGAAAATCAGAATGCCAGCAAGATTAATGTGAAACAAGTTTTTGGTCTCTGGCACTTACCTGGTTGCATTGCCGACAGAGTGACTGTGAGGACTCCCTGTGCAACTGTATCTCCTATTTCTTGACCTGGAGTTGGTCTGTCATGAGAAGTCAAGTTCACATCCAGCTTGCCAGGATCTACTAATGCCGTCACTAACGCGTCCATTACCAGAGAATGTATCCATGTTTTAAGAACTGGAACTTCCATCATTTGGACAGACTTTAAAGTAATCAAATCACAAATCAACTAAAGATGACGGTCTACATAACCACACACTACATTAGAGGTTTAGATCTAAGAGTGCCAACTGCACTTACAACGGGGAATTTCTGTTTCTGTCTCTCAGCACGATCACCTTACTCGACTCATTTTTACAATAAAATAATTTAAGGTACTAAAATAATATGCAAGATTATAAATAAAAGGAAATTCTGTGATAAACACACTGTGCTTATTTTCCTTAAAGTTTTCTAACACAGACATGTTAACAGATGAATATTTAAATTCACTTCACAGTTAATCTAAATTTTTTACACAAATTGTAAATATCTGTCACTTCCACGTCTTAGCAAAACAAACTTTGATTTACCTTCAGCACACGAACACTGAACCACACTTCTGGCTTCTCTATAAACGTCAGGTTTAGATGAGTAATGTGTGGAAATGGTGCTTCCATATTCAATGTCAATGTTGCATAAATCTTTCCTGTGACGTTCAGCTTTTCCATGGCAAGATCCAGATCCATCCCAACACTAAAAGGAAAAAATACAATAATGTGTGTTTCAGTCGTCATTAATACTAGACGGATGTTACGTATGACCCTATATAGATAAGTGATAACTTAAAAAGAAGTTTGGCATAAAAAATACTCACGTTTTTACATTTTAATTTCATTGTAGCAATTTTAGACAATTAGGAGACAAATTCTTAAAACATTTATTAATAAACGACACTTTCCATGCCATGAACAACATAATTTTCCCAGAAATACAAACCTCTTTTGACATGAACACTTGGAATTTGATGGTATTTTAATGAAAGGCTCCAAGTTTTGTTAAAAATGAAACTTCAGGAAAAAATTATGAACCAGCAACATGGGTATAATAATGAACGTGTGCGCGCACACATCCAACTAAAAGGAGGGGCTGGTACGATATGCAGTCGTGAACCTCCGGATAAGAAGCACCTCTGCCATGTCAAAATAACAATTAACTTCCATCACTTATTATATTTTTCTAGGATCCCCTAGACACTGATTGTTTCACTAATGAAGTTATTATCTGCCTTACCCTTTGCCAAAAAGTCTTGTCCTTATAACCATACGGAAATCATCACTGTCAAGACAAATGTCTGCTTCTAGTGCCACCTGATGATGCACACTCTGTGCTAGGCCACCTGGAGGCTGCTGGAGACTTCGTGCTGATAGTGGAATGCGTTTGCCCTGATGCACATCGAACACCCGTACAGCTTTCACATATGGTGTCTGCTCACCCAGGGTGAACTGTCTCAATTCAAGGCTCTCTGTGTTCAAGATAAATGCAGATACGTATCTCTCAGCATCATTTATACAGTACAAGAATTCCTAGTGAAGTGGGTCAGTACAGTTTGACTACAGACTGGATGACTGGGAATCGATCCCCTGACACAGCAAAATGATTTTTCTACTATCCCCTACGCCCAGACCAGATGAGGCCAATGGGTACCAGGGGTCCCTTCCTCAGGGGTTTAAGTGCAGCAAGGTCATTGTTCTGACCACTTACCCATCTACTGCTAAAAGAATGAGTAGGAGCTAACCTCCTCTGCCCACAAACACATCCATGGCATGTCATAAGGCAGCATTACTTTCACAATGTCGATATAAACCTGATTAAAGCACTAATATGTAGAATTTGGGAGGCAAATTTCTAAGTTACAATACTATACATAGTTCCTGAAAGGTTTGTGCACGCGCAGCATTTCCTTAATATTGGTGGCATGACGAAACTTAATGAACACGTTACAATCACGGGCACGCAAAGGCTCACACCTGAATGGTTCCAAGCACCACCTGGCTCCTACACTACCATGGAGGTCGCACTATTCCATCACGAAATTAACAGCGAAAAGTGGATTCACGAGAGTGACGGAGGAGACCAAGAAAAAAGAATTCCAGAATGAAACGTTCAAACTCACTCACTCACTCACACACACACATCGCCCTGATGATGGAGGCAACAAGGACCTCCGAAATGACTATCAACACGGCGCAACATCAAGGAACATAATTCTGTGTTCCTTCCGTTCTCTTATTTCTTCTTTCTACTTCTGTCCTCTTACTATTATAATTATTTCCTTTCTGCATATTCCGTTTCTTACGTGCTCCTTCCTTCAACTTCACTCCAACCACAGCGTCAGTCATTTGTTAAGACCCTGCACACACGAGCGGTTTGGGCCGCAGCGGTTTTTCTGCCGCAACACAACACGAGGAATCCTACCTATGCGCACGCACGAGCGGCAAAACAGTCGCACGGCGACCATTGTTTGCACGACCTTGGTGTAACTGAGTAGGAGGAAAGGCCGGCACTGAACAGTTCGGCCATATCGTTTTACAGTGACAGAAACTAACGAGAAACTGTGTGTAGAAGTCTGTGAATCTCTACTGCCGAACTCGAGCCAACTTGACGAAAAAAGGAGGTGTCTAAATAATTTCTTTGGATACATTCGCAGGTCCTCACATAACTTGTGAAACTGAGCTTTCGACAATCTTGGACTTAAAAGCGGAAGGAACCAACATTCATTCCCACGGTTTGCCCTTGCTCTTAGCAACATTCTTATCGATTCGAGGGCATCCAGTTATTTCATAGCAACGTATTACAAATACTAACGCGCAACTGTAGAAAACTCTCAATCGTGACAGTCACTCCCAAATATCGAAGTACACAGCTGAATCGGACTCTTATTACTTATTATCTGTTGCAGTTGATATTTCTTCGCACGAATTCCTTTAAAGAACTTACAAGTTTACGAAATTAAACACAATGGGATAACAGAAACAGACCAAGAACTACAAATCCCTCTGCTGTTGTGACGTAATTTCGTGGTTGGTTTCTCGTTAGCTGCGTTATCGCTTTCTGCAAGAAAAATCCCAACATCAATATAGAGTCTCTGTAGACACTCCCATGTCTGATGTCAGATATGTATAACACGTCAGAATGAAAAAACTGAAAGGGTTATGGAAGATTTATAGGCCACATTCGCAAAAGTAGTCCCTAAGAAATATCTTTCCGACAGTCATAAATCCACGTAGACCTTCAGCTTGAGAAGGTAGCTCGGTTTCATGATTAACCCCCGTAAATGTACAAGGGTAGGCCAAATGCCTTCAACAGCAGTATACAGCGCGCGTTATTTCTTATGTGGTACACCAAACACTGCAATGACTCTGGACATCTTGCAAAGTGTCCCACAAAGACCTAAGGTTCTCAAGGCGGGGAAGACAATTTTGTTCTGGGTTGTAACACAGCTTCTCCGAAACGCTGATGTCTGCCCACAAACCCACACGGTTTTACAACCCACTTTTTTCTTCGAGTTTTCTGTATCACTTAATCCATCATGTTTTGACCGGTCACTGCCTTCTAAATGAACCGTGCATCGCCGACCGCAAATCGATTCCTTATATCCTATTTTTATTTTAGTAGCGTTTCCACGTTACCATTTTTTGTTGAGACGACTGTTCCAAAATCATAAGCGGAAAAGAAGAGTTTCATGCGAACTGAAAACAAACTCGTAAATAAATAGAAAGGAACTAATACCTATGTAGCATAGTCCTTATTAAGAAGCTAACAGTCGCTTATCTTGTCAAGAAGTTGCCCATACCTTAAAGCGTCTGTGTACATACGTCACAGCCTTCTAAATCTAATGTTATAGCAAGAATTTTACTCACCCACAAACGAAGGTTTGGCTTCATTCAGGATGGGCTCTAAATGTTCCTTCAAAATTATAAACAGACTCGGAGAGCTGAAAACCCACCTGGAAAACAATAACGGCAATAAATTTGTGTTTTTCTCCCTCTGGACATCACAGTAACTGGGCTCCAGGGAAAGCGATCGGTGTTAAAGGAACGGACAAACGCATTAAAATCCTCTCGCGCGATCATCTGTGTCAAAATTCAGCTCAAAACCACCGTTCTAGGGACCTGCTGTCTCTATTGCCGCAGTCGCTCGAGAGGATTTCAGTTGCATTATTTACCCTGAAAGTTTCAAAACTTACTTAAGAAAAGACGCTTAAGGAATTTGGGCCACGCCTTGCTCAACTTTGATAAGACAAATCAGAAATCAGTGGGAAGGGCCACGAAGTAATGATTTTGAAGTTACACGGGCACAATGTGACTGCATAAACACACGGCACAGAGCCAACAAATACATGGAAGACGCAAAATACAATTTTTAAAATCCAGATCAGTGCCAGTAGTTTTTACGGAAAGAATAAAGCATTTAGAGTAGGATTTGAGGTTCTCATGGCGATGATTATGAAGCTGAGAGGCACTTGCAGCGTCCTCACAATGGAGACAGCAAGTACCTCTGCAACGTCGTTACACTTCTACCAGACAAAACGGCGTTACAATCCAGAAGACACATTTAATGCATTTATGGTCTATTCAGGATTTGTATGGAGCAGATAAACACTAACAAAGCAGCGACATATTTGACGACAACCGGGAAAGTGGACCTGCATTTCAGCGCGGTTCACGCCATGTTCTTGCCCCATTCACACAGCAATTTGCGTGTAATAAACTTTCATGGGCCATCGTGCGATTGTGAACTACGCATGTCACTTGCCTGTCCTTGTCTGCTCAGAATACAGAAGTATAAGGACCTGCAGTGAAGTACAAAGGAAGTTTAATGTAACTTACGACTACGCCGATGGATTGTGGTGGCAACACAATTTTTTTTGGAGAGGTTCGTAAAAAATAACGCTGTTCTTGTGGTTATGCAGTGCACCATGAAAGTGAATGCAGGAACCGCGCATTTTTAAGGTCCACACCAAATGCAACTGGCTGGTGTGCTTTACTCCCGCGGAAGGAGTCCTTGGTACTCGGTGCGCGCCAGAATCGTCATTGCAGCCAAGAGAGAAAAAATCCTTGCAACAGAACCTGGATCGTCCCGCACAGCCCATATCTTAGACACTGTGTCCGATCTCGCACTGATATAAGGCCCCCACCTGCGTTAAACGGAACACCCGAAACGGAAATATCCAGTCACTGGGCATTTCGTTACGAGATCTCACTGTCTGCACGCCGAACTGTCAAGGTTACATTCCGCCCGTCTCGCGAGAGGACACGCCAAGCGACGGGGCATGATTTAATTAATAATCAGCCTGTTGCTGGCCTTGCGTCTGTCGGTGGAGATGAGATAGCCTGCTCAAGGTGACCTCTTTCCTTTTGAGAAATATTTAACGGCGATGACAGAGATCTTATGCAAGTGCGACGTTGCACCTTTCCGACGCGAGGTCCGCGGATTCGAATCCCGCTCGGTTTGTGTCAGACCTACCCCGTGTGGGTAAATAGGCATGTTCGCCCAGTATCACACTTTTCATTTTAAATGTATTAATATTTCAGCGTACTAACATACGCTAATAAAAACAATATAAGTTCGTTATGTCTTCAAAACACGCGTTTAAGCTACAATCCTAGTCCAAGGAGTCACTCCGAATGGATTTACACGAACCAAATTTTCAGGATTAGTCACGAATCGGAGCGATTTCCTCACTTGTACAAATGTTTTGCCCTAATTTCCAAATCACGTGACGTGCCGCACACAAAGGTCGCGAGGGCCACATGCGTCTACAGATTTCCGACCCCTGGTCTACTAAATTTCATATTGTTTTATAATCTGCAGGCCTATTATTAATCACATTATTTTCTGACCCACTTGGCATTCCATTAGTAAGTAGGCTGTCATTTATGATTAATGTGACAAATTGAAAACCTCGTCTGTAGCTCTACGTATATTTGAAGGGACAGTGTCCCCCCCCCCACTTATAATACTGTTAATAGATTTTCAGCTTTATGGGGTGTTTATGGCTACATGTGCTATGCATAAACTATTATAGCGGTTGCCATGGTGATGTTATTGAATTCTCGACCTCGTGGTTTACATTAGTGATCACAGAACCATTGCTTCCTACACATGACTGACAATTTGTCACGACCTACGCTATTATCCCACCGAAGGGGCCGATTGTGATAAATCGCGGACTGGGATGCCGTATTTTCATCCGTTCTCTTAACTACGTAAGAAGAGACCTCGCAATGGATAGAATCCCCATCCAGTGACCACTACAAAATGTCTAAATGGTTAACTATTTCAAAATTAATTCTCTATCTGTACAGGTGAGCTGAACAACTAACCGAATCACGAAAAATTAATGATTTCTGTCATCTATCTGCCCAGAGGGGAAAAAACGGTTTGCCACAGCGCCCAACCATTTAACAGTTACAAGAACTATTCTTTACAGCACCCATATCCCATGAGATTGTGTCCAAATGGGCATCCTGCGATGTGCAAATGAAAACGGACAATGCCCCATTCTTCACAATTTATCACCCTCCTGCGATAAACGAGAAAGCAAATAAATACGTAATCTGTGAAGGTCAAACCAAACTGCATAGGACCCAACAGCGTTTATGGCCGAAAGTTGTCAGGGTGATCACCAAATGCTTGGGGGACCGGGGCGAGGGGAGAATATACTTAATGAAGACGCGAGGTGAACTTTCTTCCATGAAATGGTTAACCTCAAACAAATGATAAACTAAGTCATCAGCCAATTAGAGTTCTTTACTCCGAGCTTTGGCGGTGGTGAACTGTGGCCTGTTCCGAGATGCGCAAACCCACGGACGACATGGTTCTGCTGTGCTGAATCCGTTTGGAGAAAAAAGAAAACGTATGTGCGATTGCTCACAGATTTAACATAAAGACTATTGATTACCTTTCACGGCTTTGCTGGTACCAACAAACATGATTCGCTACACATGGCACGGAGTGGCGCCAGCTAGAACCATTAAGGAGATGACACGCCATGAATAAAACGTGGATCAGGCTCGCCAGTGGTTGAAAACGGAAACGATGCGCATTTATTTGAGAGAAATGTCAAATGCTAGTATTCCATGCGGAATCAACTGGTCTGGTGACGGCGTTCATACAACCTCGACATGACTGTACCTCACAACTTCAACTACCCTTTACCATAGACACAGATTACGTAGCATTGGACGACAAACGGATCACGAATTATTGACGGGAAAGGGCGTAGATAAACCGATCGTAGCCTACTTTAAGTTTCTCTTTCAGAGTTTGAAGAACCGACAGGTAAATGTATCCAGGATGTGTATGGAGCGAAAGTAAATATAAGAACAAAGGCAGACGTGAGACATGCGTAGTTCGCCGTCAGACGACGGCCGACAAAACTTCCATTACATATAAAATTCAATTACAAGTACAACACGTCTAACGCCCAACCTCATTATTGATCTACTGCTGCGAGAAACCGCGAACAGCTCTCGAAGGTCCGTGCCCAAAAGAACACAAACACGATATCCCCACTCCATGGTCAGTGTTTGTTGACGTCTGCTTCATACGCATCCTGAACAGACCACTGACTCGCGTTTACCAGCTATCCAAACTTGCTCCCAGAGCTGCCACCGTCAGAAATGAATAAATTACAGTCAAGTATCAAAGGAATTTACTATTAAATTAGAAGCTGATGTAGTTACTAGGTCATCAAAATACGTAGCATTACTTTGCAGACAAATAACACCCGCTACCAGGTACGTTGTTCTTTTGTTCCTACCTTCAACAGTTTTTACCGTTGTACTTCGTTTCCATTTGAAGGTACAATTTTACAATCCTGTTACAGAAGGGGTATGCTTTGGGGGTAACAATCTAATGTACAGATTTCAAATTCCATCCGGATTACCGGCTAGTCCTACACTGACCGATGGCTTTCTTCAGCCTCTACAGCAGGCTGCTGGGATAGTACCTTGAAACAGGCCACAAACGCCTCACCAATTTTAATTTTCTCGCCCCACTGGACGGCATATAATCTAAGCTGTTGGAACAACACCGTAAAATTAAGAATCCATTTTTACCAGCTTGTCACTTCCCAGCATAAATGGAGCTTTGGGTGTGGGACAAGTAAAATAAGACAGAGGTAAACGGAGATACCACGTTCAATTACTTACCATCGGTTGAAGAGGAAGTTGAACCATTCAGCTGTCTCGTCCTGATTATGGACACGCTTCCGCCTAACCCGAAGTGTCTCGTACTTTACGGCAGCCTCTACCAGTTTTACAAGACTGGATTTCCAGACAGCAACGACCAGAGCCAACAGGAATAGCAGCCAAGCCAAGGACAACCCGGCGGTGCCCAACAGCCAACTGCAAACGACGCTCAGGGCTACGAACATCAGCGTCCAAATCAACTCGGCATCCCGCTGCAAAAATTCAACATCTGGTCTGAACGTCTGTTCATGCGACAATTCAAGAACTACCAGAACGGTCAAGGTCGAAGTTCGGAAATTCCTAAAATCCAAGCACCAAAAGTCGTGGGCTGATTCAAATCTCGGCGCGGAGACAGGCTATCCCGAGGTTTTTCCTCAGTTCCTCCACGTAAATGCCGGGATGGTACCTTAAATTAGGCCACATCGATCCCAAATTCCTTATTCACTATTATCCCTTCATTTGAACCCATACGTCCTGAGTTACTCAAAACGCCGTTAAACAAACTACAAATAAAATAAACAACACTGCCTGCTACTAATACCATCGTCCAGGTAGAACAAACATAATTTATCAACGCAACAGAAGCGCATTTACCGTAGCTAATATCAACAGCAGCAGCGCCATGAACAGCCCAGCAATTGCAAACAGCCAGCCACATGTAACACACGCTGTTACGAACACCAGAGCCCAGAACATCGTTAACATTCGAGGCAATCACTTGTGTGTGCGCGCTGTCCTTCCTTGTCGTGACCACTGGCAGACCTCAGCGGCTGAGGACACAACCGCTCAACACGCTACATTTCAACAACAGCTACTCCTAGTCCACTGCCCTTCCTTAAAGGCAGGCAAAAAGTTATTTCACAGGTCCGTGGCGTGAAACAATACAGAAATCGACAATCGAGATCGTTGTTTGTAGAAAGAAGCATTTCATGACACTGGATGTGTGCTGAGATCTGGGTCAGCAGCTCTACAACAATGTAGCGCATGAGAAGAAGCAGACAATGTGTCTTGCACATCTGGCGAACGCAGCGAAAAGAAAGCCCACTTCTTATGTACAGCTATGTTTTATTTTAGTGTCAACAATTGCAGGAAAAGCCTCTCTGGCAACATTACAAGATTCAAATATTGAAGTTTTAAAGGGAAAATAACGAAGCGTCCTGCGTGTGGGCGATTGTGAGGGCTATCAAAAAGACATAATAATCACTATAGGAATTAAAATAAGCAAAGTTCGTGTTGCGTAAGACAGATGTTCTCAACATTTTTCGCTGGCGTACCACCCATTCTAATTCAACACATTAAATGTACCACTAACCAAATGCGTTCAGGGAAAACTTATTTATGTTAATATTAACTTTTGATTTTCTTACTTAGTTCGCGTACCACTCAACAGTGGCTCGCGTACCATAGGTTGATAAACGCTGGCGTAAACAATTTTGAACTGGAAATAAATTACGTACAAAATCCTCCGACTCTTAAATTTGTATCATCACATATCACTTTTTTCCTCAGCATGGCGAATTAAATTATAACTGAAAATAAGAAAATTTAAATTTCAACTTTTAACTGAACTGCAAACAAAGTTCCAAAAATTAACAAAGTCTTCCAACAACCTAATTATCTTTGTCCGTCTTTTCTATAATTTTATTGTAATTTCAATCGTTATTAAGAATCCACTACATGTTTCGACCTTAACTGGTCATCTTCAGGTGATTCTCTTTAAGTGTTCGAAATTAATCGATAATATTGCCAAACTGTAACCACATTTTCTGTTGAGGACTTCACCACGAGAGGGACGGACCTATTTAAGTAGAGTGGACTACACTGGTGGAAAGCTGTAGTTGAAATGAAAATTTAAATTTATCTCGCGATTATATTTTCATATTAAAAAAAACTATAATCAGCTAACTATCAAGATCTCCGCTGACGTCCATTTCCGCCAGGTCAGGTGAGGTCACGAAACGCAAGGGCTCGGTGTGTGAACGACGTTAATGATGAAGGAGAGAGACGCGTGGACAGATGGGCAAAGCAGTCCCGCTACACGCCATGTAGGTCGCTTGAGGGAGAGGAGGTGCAGCTCCTATTCATTCTTGACCTCGACACTAGTTGGGGGGTGAGTGGTACGTCACCCATTTTAAAAACAGTTTCATGTTAAAACCACGAAGCCACCCACTGGTCTATCTTTCGTATTTCTCGCCCGCGTGCTGTTTATCCCCCCCCCCCCCCCCCCCCCTATTTTTTAAAGTTAGACCTCCGTTGCTGTCTTGTTCCACTGCGGCATTGCTATTTATAGACGACTAAACACTCAGAACGAAATCAAAGCTCTATGCGCCGGCGAAACACAATTCTGGTACGAACTTCAGCGACAATGAATTTGTTGAAACGATTCAAACTGAAAGACGGAAGACATCTTACAAAAGTTGGCAGGAACTTTAATGGGAAATTAGAATACTGTATCTTGCAACACATTTACGCCAGAAAATAGGTCTCTGGACGTATTCCAGAGGGAGCGAAGGAGGTACTGGCAACTTGTACTCATAAAAAAGTCACTCATAACTCCAAATTCGCTCTTTCTCGTGTTCAGTGAAGTGTATGACTTATGCAATAATATTATTTGGAAAATTTTGTAATCTAGATTCGTTTACTCGAAAATTATGTAACTACATCCATCAGTTGATGCAGATATAACAGCTAAAGTGTGCACATGTGTGGTGGACGGGACCTTTGCACAGGGCGGCAAAAATGATTTGGCCGACTGTATAATAGTTTATTATAATCTGAGACTGATTATTATACACTTTTTTGGTTACGATTATTACAACAGTCATTTAAATGATAATTTAGAAGATTTTAGCAAAACTGGGTCAGAGTTTTATGTGAAGTCAGACATTTCTGCTGGTATTACGTAAAAAAAGGTCTTAATCTTCCCATTCAAGCCTGGTTTTTCAAAGTAGTCTCTTGTCTTCAGAATTCCCGACAAAAATTATGTCTGCATTTCTCGTCTCCCCAATGCCTGTTACTTCCCCACTATCTTAAAACACTTCGAATGACCATCGTTCATAAAAAATGTATAATACGGAGGATGGCAAGTTCAGAAATGCCACGAACAAGAGAGCTAAGAATAACAGTGAATTTGTCACGTTCGCGTCTGCACAAAATGAAGGAACGTGTCACCTCTGTCTTCAGGGTTGACGGAGGCTACATGTTCCTCCGGAATTTACCCATAAGACTACGTGCTGTCACAACCCAGAACATCACAATCGGCATCTTAACCGCCCCGAAAACCTCAAATCTTACACAGTTAAGAAAAAGCCTGTTTCAAGTTTTCTCCGAGTGAAGGTTCTCTCTTAGGTCTTCTTCGGACACCTAAAAAGGTGACCTAGTGCTTGAACGTTCTAGATACACAAAGACAAAACACAATAGACGTCGCTGCAAAGCGTGAGAGTTCCAACATCCATTCATCCCAGATTGTAACACAAGATACAATAAAGCTGTGTCTTTAGATTCAAGTCCTTTGCGTCCATTTACAACTTATCTGAAGCTTCTCATCTGAACTAGTCTATTATCTTTTTTCTTCATGAATTAGGCCACGATAGGTCATGCAAAGTTAAAAACACGCTACATTGCGTGTTACCATAAATTTTGCATGGTGATTTCACACACATTCTAATTTAAAACACAAAACGAAAGGTTGATCTAATAAATAGAAAAATATTACGAGTGATTCTATTCCAGTAGGCTACATAAAAGACCAAAACTGGATAAATACACATCAAGACCTTTTTCTAACAGCAATTCCATGGAGTGGCGACCTTCTTGAGAAGCTAACAGTCGCTCAGTTAACTAGGAAATTCCCCGCCTCTTACAGAACCTAAATGTTCATTACCGTGTTCACAACAGCGTGTCATTGGATCAAGTTTCTCGAACGAGAGGCAAAATAATACAAATCACTTGTTTAATTATAGCGAAGAACACAAAGCTTACAGATAAAATGTGTTTTAATGTTCAGAACAATTTCCTCTGTAACAGGAATTTGTGAGTTACAATGAGAAGTCGCAGAGACGCAAGTAGGACTTCACACAAAATGGTCGTTATTGTTGTCAAATTTCAACCAAAACTGAGCGACTTTTCGCTTGTCAGCTCCATACAGCAAGTAAGTAAGACCACACGCTTCACGTGACCTTCTTCTTCTTCTTCGATGTGGCCTCGCGTGTTGCTAAAGACTGCATTAAATTTTGCTAGAAAATAAGAGTTAAGTGGGGGTTTGTTTTGTAAGCAAGAATTTGTTTTTGTGCCACAATAAGAGCGGAAGTTTTAGATCATATTTTAACGAAGTGTTAACCGTCGAGGCCTTATAAATAAAACATGAACGAAAAGAATCCAACAATAACAGCCGAACCTAGAAAGTATTTTAACACAACTTTATCACATTTCGGTAACAAAAAAAGTTTCGTAAGTCTGTCGTACGACGAAGTAAAATTTTAATTAGTTCTTGTTGAAATGTACAATGCAACCGATAAAAATTGGTACACTCTGTTCAATAAAAGTCAAGAGCTTGGAGTTTTCTGACTCCGAAACCGGAAGTGATGTAAGCGAACAGCTAGCGTCATAATTCCATTCATTCCCAATTTTCTTGAATGTTTTCCCCACGTTTTCTGCCGTTCATGCCAGATGTATCGGAAGCAAAAGGAACAATGGTTGTCTAATTTGAAGAAAACTACAACAATTAACGTTCATGTCACTAGCATTGATGACAAGGCCGTACGAATGTTCGAGATAAAATTTGTACGTTGTTGTGTTCATTTAAAATTGAACCAATTGTTTCAGAATTTTCATGTGGAAATTATACGAAGAGTAACTAGAAATGGATGCGAGACATGTTTATTGAGATATTCGTACGAGAACGTGTAACTTGCACGAAATGAAAGGATGCCCTACAAAAGGCTGTGAATGTTTAATGGGCAAAGCACACGCAATTCTGTTCGTAAGCATTTCTGCTCACGTTATCACTGCGTTATCTGTGCTGCAAGTGCGAGAGGCAAAGGGGGTTATTTGTTCGTCTCCCCATGATTTGCTGTTCACTGATATTCTGATATAAGGGTCACGTGTACAGGTGAAAAGGGGGGAGAGGAAGACACATATTCTGTTTGATCTGGTGGAACAAGCAATTCCCGATCTGTGAACACCCCCCCCCCCCCCCAAAAATGTAATTGTGAAGAAGGGTGCACAGGGCGACCTTGAAGCAAATAAGTAACCCTCGCCTTATCCCCGTTACGAAAATACAAACCTTACTGAGATACATCGCAAGTAACAAATGAAACGCACGATGAAGTTAATACGAAGTTGCTTCGTCTCAACGTTACGTTCGATCTGTAATTGATATGCGTGCCAAGACGAATGACGCACAAGGATTCTGGACGTGTTATTAAAGACGACAGATCTTGAAAACAGCCCTTTTAAGGGCTAACTTAACTAATCGATACTTGTATAAGTAATTTATATGCTTTACGAAATAGTACCAAGTGTGTTTTCGTAAATAAGATTCTTTGCCGTCAGATTCGAGACGAATGAAGATGCAACCGTAGATATACCGCGACTTTAAAGGTGTTTTCTTTTTCGTCGGGGAATGCGTCAAATGCGTGACCCGTCTCTGTTCCTGATGACAGCGAAACAGCACACAGCAAACGGGCAATTATCAATTATCATTCGGCCGGTGTCGTGTGCTGAAAATTCGATATACCACGCGGACGTTACCGACACGCATGAATATCGACAGAACGGCATTTGTAAACCCATCCGGAAATTGAAGAGCTGTCGGAGCACAAAAAATAATGACACGAGAAACAAGTTAATAAATATTGTATTCTCTTTATGATACGGTCTGTTATTTCTGATGTTTCCTGTCTGATAGCACGACATAAAATTGATTACGAGTGCAGGTGGGTTTAAAACAAGAAACTGATACGAACAAACTAATGGTCTTTCACGAGACATTTCAAGTTCCTCCAAGTATCAGGGGTCATATCTCGATTCGTACACATTACATACAACATTTACTACGAGAATACCAAATCACTCCATACTGAAACATATAAAGAAACTGGTAACTTTATAATCATATTCGTTATCAACCCTAATTCTGCTTGTTCTCCAGTCCTTTCATTACATCCAACTTCTCTCCCATTCATCCTCGTCGCCAGACCCAACTTCTTCACTTCATGGATAATGCATTCACATCTGTTATGGCATCTCTTCGGCCGTACCACATAGTTCTTCCGTCCAGTTAAAACTGAAGTGAACTTTTATCGTGCCATTCCGTGAGTTATCAACATTAACTAGTATTCCGCACCTGGTGTGCCGCGAATTTTTATAAAAAATTCTCACAACCACTAGACGGATTTGGATAGAATTTTATGAGGACGTTGTGCTATTCTGCACGACCTCAAAATCGTATTTTAAATATCTGACGAGAGCTTACAACAGAATTATGAATTGGAAAAGTCGTGAGGCGGACACTGAGGACGCTGTGATCTGGTGGCCAAAGTGGACACTATCTAAAAATTCGGATTTAATACCCCCAAATGCACGCTGCAAGGAACGCGTGAGAATATTATGTGTATTCCGGTGAGGAATACACCTTCCGAGATTCTTGAGGCATGTTCACCAATCAGGATTGACTTTCTGCTCACCTGCGACTTCTGGGCTGAAACGATATCGTAATCATCTTGGTCTTCCGTCCGTGTTTCCATCTCCCTGCAGAGGTGATTTATGCCCTCGGACGGAACTTCATCCCCGCGCTCTGGTTCAGTCCTGATCGATCCGCCACGACTTCTACCTGAAAATACAGCCTATGAGAGTGAAACTCATTAAGGGAAGAAAGTGCGACTCTTAAAAACAAAACCACAAGTGTCCACGGAATCAAACCTCAGGTAAACGGCCACTTTAATTAGGCACATCTTTACCGGAACTTGCAGAAGTTTGATAAGAACTTCAAACTCTTACCTTCCTAAACAATTCTACTGAATATATAAGGTGTCCCAAAAGTGCAGCGCTACGTACGACTGTGGACAGGGTGCTGAGAATATGTGGACCTACGAGGAAGAAAGCAAGTCTGATACGGTGATAAAATAGAGGACAAGACGGGCAGAGCATGGAAGAAATGAGAAATGCACACATAATTTTAGTCAGAAAACTCGAAGGAACGAACCCACTTGGGAGGCTGACATACATGGTATAATATTAAAATGTGTTTTAGATTGAATCGGCTTAAGATTGGGTTCAGTGGAGAGATCGTGTGAGGACACTTCACGAAGTTTGTTACCGGGTTCAACGCGTGTGTACATGCAACTGTAACTTAATTTAACTTCTCCGAATGTCCAAGTTACAGGCACACCATTAAGCCATAATTATATACTTAACTTGCCCAGACTTTTTCAATCGACTGATCATACCTATCCTATTACAGTTAGTTTTACGACAGGGATTAGACAAGTGTGTCGGAAGAAGGCTGGCTACCGTCTTGGATGTTCTGCCGTGTAGTCTGGAAGAAATTTACCAGCGTTTCAGACGTATATTTTGCCTCCTTCATCAGGACGACATGTTTGTCGGATCTAGCGTATATCGCCAGCTAAATTGCCCGCCACACCATCATGGAGCAGTGCACTATCTGAGAAGCTGACAGTGCAGTCGCTTAATTGGACATGAACTCCCCATGTTTTTATGAAACCCGAAGGTCAGCGTCAATGGTCTCTATCCTAGATACCTCATAACATTCCACATTCTTTGATCCCATTTTTTAGGATTCGGTTTAATATAATCCTCACTATCCTAGCATTTACTTCAGGGAATCGCAAATGACCGACATTCGAAGTTCGAAAACCCATGGACAGTTCATGTTCCTTACATTCGTCTGAGAATTGGACTGTGTAACATTCTTGCCAAGCCACTTTGCACCTGACTGTCAGTCTGTTTTGGTGTCGAGCCCCTTACTCGGACCAGATTTCAAGTCACGAGTCTGATAGATACAGTATGAGTCATGTGACATCCTCTCTGACGAGAAGGAATGTCTATTCCTTGTCACGTGTCTTGGTCTTTGTCAAATCCATACATATTTACATATCACGTTGTACAAATACACAGATCCAACACGCATGGTTATCTCTCAGCCCATGTACTGTGCAGAAGATTGTGGCATCGTCTTATCTTAGCCACCAAGTTTAACAACATTCCGCAACATGCTAGCCGCTTTTAGAGCGAAGGGTTGCTAGTTCTCCACCCAACCCCCAAGCTGGAGGACCAGTCCTACAAATACCCTTCATACATGACAATAACAACCAGAGTACGCATCAATCCTTGGTACAAAAGACCCCTTGCTGTAGTACAACCCCACAGTTCGTCACAGATATTTCATTAACACCAATCCACACATGCATCCATTTACCATCCTACATCATCACTAAGATCCAGCTTCCCTTCTCATTCTCTCTTCCAAGTAGACATTTTCCAAGAGGTTTTCCTGACAAAACTTGTTTTGTTATTTAATATTTTCCCCCCATACGAATTTCGTCCCCACTATAACCCACATTTCACCACCTTTTCAATGACAGACAGCTGTATAAATCACGAACGAAGACGATAAAGTGTCTCAGACGAGAAACTACGAACGTGGAACTAACAGAGAAAAAAACATTACCAAAATGCCGAAACTGACAAGTCTAAGATGTCACCAGTCTTCTATGCCATTAGCACGTGAACTGGCAAATAAACAAACAAGGTTCTGAGCTTCTTTAATCTACCTTTCAAAAATCTCCATTCTTCCTTACAGTGGAATAAGTTACTGGTAAACGCGAAAGCAACAATTTGCAGTTTTCCATTACAGCATCGGATCAAGTCAACTTTGGACAACACTGTCGATGTTTCTGATAAATTCACTACTGCAGGCATAGTTTCTACAACAAACGTTACCTTTCTTGGTAGAATTTGTTCGTTGCTTGTTGAAATGTTTCTCCAAGAATGACATCAACATCATGATGGTTTTCACAGAAACTCCTTCAAATCACAGTATTGTTGAAAAAAAAAAAACCTTTCTCCGTCAATGATGAAAATGACACGTAGGCCATATCGAAGAACCGTCGGCAGTTTTATATTTATTGCGATAAGGGATATCAGCCACTACAAATACTTCTACCTTTAATACGTTATTACTTAAATATCTGAGCATTTGATAATAATACTGCTCACATAATAAATCAAGAACTGCCTTCATTGTGACATTTATGGTTCATCAAACTTAGGTGTTGTCTAAAAGTACATTACAATCTTCTATTACATATCATTGCATGTAGGCCTATATCAATTAGACGTGATTTTAAAATTATGATTTTATGTTTCACGAGAGGAGCTTCTATTATATTAAAGACACGAAGCACACAACGAAAACCTTTATGTTCGGTTTCAGACGATAACGGCATGGTAACATGAAAGCCCCCTAAGGCCCAGTCGCACAAACAACACGCTCACTACCGCCCCACGCCAAATGCTGCTCTGATAAGACGAGACCCTCGTCAATAGAACTCCCGCCTTTACTAGATGGACGACGGCAGTTCTGGGCGAAATCTGCGCTTGCGCCCGTCGCATAGGAAAAGTAAAATACAGTCTGTCTGGTTTAAACGACAATTAACAATGAACTGAGAAAATCTGTTGTCAAAATTCGAACGTATAAAAAGAAAGGAATAAATGCAACAATGACATTATTCAACGTATTAACATAAGACAATTGTTGCTAAAACATGAAGTTTACGACAATAAAATGTTGCGGGTATCCATTGAAATCGTTTTTTTTTTTTTAAAAATTGTTGGTACGTACTATATAAAATTTAATATAAAATCATGTGTTTTTAGTAAATATTTTAAAATGTAAGTGGTGCATGTCTGCAAATAAACTTAAGTATTTGCTATATTTTCTTGGCTTTCTTTCGTTTTTGAGGATTATCTGGGTTTTCGATTATTCGGAAAAATACATTTCCCAACCAACCCGGATAATCGGGAGTCTACTGTACAGTACAATTAATGCCGCGAGGACTCGTATTTGCAGAACTAAACCCCGAGATTCTAATACATAATATTTGGATCTTGAAGACTGCTTATTAAGTTGTTCAATGGTGACTTTCAACTACATGGCGGAAAAAAAACAATGAAACCAGGAAACATAAGACAATGTTACATTAAATGTTGTAAATGTCCACGGCGTTCAGCAATGCATGCATTCATTCCTTTCTTACGCAACTCGATGAAGAGTTCCCATGTCATGCAAAGGTGTTCACTGCCAGACGAGAAAGTGTAGATCTGTTTGACACAGGATAATCGGGAAATATTTCCCTGATCCATAAATACGTCATAAATCTGCTAATAATCGTCTACGACAAATCTGTATACATCAAACGTTGCAAGCACGGCAACAGCGAACATTCTTGTGATTATATCTTGCAAATTTAACGCTGTCCGAGTATACTGGTGTAGATTGTGCACAGAAACATATCAATAGTAGGAATTAATTAGATCTATATCCACTGTACAGTATGGCATACTGGAAACCAGTCGATTAGTTTTAAGGACGAAGACAAGTGCTCTGGTACTGCGTCGACATCCCATTTCCTTCGCCACTTTGCCCCACAGTTGGGTCTCCATTAAGTCTCTGTGCTATATTGTGACCCAGATTGCTGTGGTGGAAGGAAATCCAAAGCTCTGTATTTCGATCCTCTTCAGAACGCCCATCGGTCCAAAAGGCTTCGGGTACTCTTCACAAATAGGACTCATGACGACTGAGTCTAGGCGAAACTCCAATGCAGAAAATTCAAAGCAAAAATTCAGTCATCGAGAAAAATGAAACAAAATTTGGGTATTACTGACAGTTGTTACCTGTAAGCAATTTATTATATTTTTTATTGATATCTTACATTCGAATGGAATTTCCATCACGACCACAACCACGAAAAATAATGAAACGCAAATTTGTAATATTTTAACACCAAATATAAAATAAAATTTAGCAGTGCAGTTGAATCTCGGACCATCGGGTTAAAATGTGGCCGCCCTGACCTCCAAACCACGATGACATTTCGTTCCATTTAAGAAACCAACACAATTTATATTTGGATCTATAACCTGACTGCCCCCATTTCGAGTTACGTAGCCATAACTGGACTTACGAACAACGGGACAACGTAAATTGTAATATGGACTGCATGATGGACAAATCTATCGGCTGCTAGCAACATCACTGCGATGAGGGTAAGTTTCGCACCCCCTCTTCCCCCTCCCCTCCCGCCTCATTCCATGGACACTGGGAGTAAAATGACCAGAACGTGAACCTAGCAATCTCCATCTACAACCAGGGTTGAGAATGCGTAGTTTTTTATTTCCATTCTACCACAGCATCTTCTTAGCGTAGTGCTTCGGTACAGTGATGGATGAAATATATTTGTCACGCCATATATTTGCAAGTATCCACCAAAAGCCGGTCACAAAGATACCGGTTTATATATAATAAGAATAGATGGCTTAAGAAAATAACAGCGTAAACTTGACTCCAGAGAATTAAAATGCCCCATTTATACAAAAATAAGTCTTCCAAAACTTTCTACTGATGCTTCATTCTCAGTATCGATTGTTCAAAGAAAACTTTTTAGAACAGCAAAGTTAAGAAACACTAGAACAAAATCACTTCAGTAGTTGTAATTTACCCACCTGGAATGCCTCCTTAACTCGAATTTCTTTCATAACACAAGATGCACATTTTACAGCTACTTTCGTTACTTCAGCTTTGATCCTGCCCGCTTACATCACACTTCTGATACACAGATAAAGTTACTACAACAAGATACACAACAAATGGAAACTAGTTTGATGAATGACACGCTCATTGCATTGGTCCATATCATTGTCTGCAGTCCATATATTCATATTTAACCAATGAAAAGTCGCATTCCAGGACAACCACATCAACGACGCAACATGAGACAGATAACTTAGATACTACATCAGCATCATATTGTGTAACTGACTAACTAACTAGATGGGTTACGAAACCCGAAGGTTCATCACCGAATTAACCATAACTTTTTATTTATATAGCATAATATTATACTATTACGTTTGTTAGCTAAAGCCTTTGTCTGTATATTTTGTAAGTTATGGTTGGTTCCCTAAGCGATCTAGTTAGTTAGTTAGTTACGGTTGGTGCACCTGATTTAAGTTTCCTCATTGGCTTACTCAAATGATTCAAATGGAATGCCGTCTGGATGCATTACGGTCTAGTACAATGTGTGGAAATTAGATATGACTTTTCTAACGGTTATGTTGGAATTTGAAACATATTATTTCTTTGTGTACTTTTGAATTATTTGCAAACGTTCTGTTCAGTGGTTTTAAAATTGTAATTTGTTACAGTGATAATAACGTAATCAGGACAGTGTGCAGGATGTATGATATATCGGAGCTAGAAGGTATGAAATTCAAGGAACTGAAAAGACTTGCCAGAGAGAAGAATATTTCCCGACGTTGGACTTGTAAGGTAATTGGGGGGCGTAGTATTTTTTTGGGTCATTTGAGTCTGATTCAGAATTTATAAGCAGTGGTACATTTTAATGCACTAGAAGCAAGGCTGAATTGAAGATTGATTTTATGCAACTAATCTTTCAGAGCAAATGTTAGGTTTGTATTGGAATACATATATTGTTATTTAGATTGTAACACATATGTTTTATGGATATTAGTTGCATATAGTTATGTATGTAAATGGGGTGGGTGACAAAGCATCCTTCGAGCTATGACCATTAGCTGGTCTTTACATGTAGCTAACTAAAGCTGCTGTTTGTCGAGATCTTCAGTTTCTGAAACAATAACTTGCATCACAGATTTCTGTAATGAAATTTGAATTCAGACTTTCTATTTAGTTTTCGACCACAAATCAGCTTATGTCATTATGCAGAATAAAACATTCTCTAGTTTATAACTAGAGAAATTCTTATATTAGAAATGTTTTTCCCAGACTCAATACAGATTGCCTTGCCATGTCTTTTACAAAAAAAAGGGCTAGAAAGTTCGGGATTACTTGAGTGCGGCCAGATTATTTGGCACACGTGCTGAATTGATGGTTCCTAAAGATATCTTCACTAAAACCAAAATTCAGTGAAAAGTATTGTGAAATTCCTCTTTTTAACCGTATATTAATATTGATGGGATTGTGTTGTTATGTTATGTTACATTATGTGGGGAATCAAGATCGTATTCTATAGTTTAACCCAAAACAGACTGAAAAGCGTCTGGCATAGGCCACTAATAAACTTAATGAAAGTGAAAACTGGTGGCAAGGCAATTTGCTTCTTTCCCATAAAATGAAAACATATTTGATAAAAAATTGACTGTTAAGTGTGGCACATTGGGGATTATATTTTAAATTTTGAGTAAGAAATTGACATTTTTCTGTTGAATTTTTTGTATTTTAAATTTCTAATATTTGATTTCATTGCATAATCTCTTGTATATTCTAATTTATGCTTTATTACAGCGTGAAATAATTGACCAGATTATGAGTACTGGACAGGATCAAAACTTGGACAATATTACTCTAACCCTTGTAGACAGCCCAGATTCAATGAAAAGTAAGAACAAAATTTGATTGTGAAATAAAAGTTTTAGTAAAGGAACAATACAAAGAGTGGGTAGAAACAATTGTAAGTACAATTAAACCATTTTTTATTCTGAATTTTGTTGTTTTTATCCCACACCAGGCAGTTCTGGACCTGAAGTTTGCAATGAAGATGGTTTATGTGCCCCACGACAGTCTGCAGCTAAAGCAGCAGGAACAAAAAAAAGAGGTAGATTGTGTAAACTCCACTGCGTATTATACTCCTGAATCTATTTCATATTTCATAATAGAGTTTGGAGAGTGGCATGTAGTATAAAGAATTAGTGTCCAGTCTTTGTAAATATTTTAATGAACAGTTATTTTTCTTAACTATTACAGTAGAATTTGGAAGTTGGATTGTTTTAAAGATATGCTTTAAAAGTACAGGTGATCCATATGACTTAACACACAAAAATAATTTGCTAAACACTATCTAATTTTGTGGACAATTGCCACCTTTTCCGGTTTTATTCGCAACCACAGCAAGGATGATTATGTCTGTACAAATAAGTTATAGGCAGTTACAAAACAAACAGATGGGTCACTGACATGCTGAGTTTGTAATTTATTTTAAATTTTTCTTTTGTTTAAGAGCAACCCAGATTTCAAAAACTTAGAATGACAGTGTTTCAGCAACATGAAGGTGATTCTTCCATTTCAGGAGCTGAATCTTCACATAAAAGTATGTTCCTTGACTCTGTTATAATTTTCTCATAAGGGATCTTACCTAAATATTTTCCTATTATTAACTTGTTCAAGACACAGTTACCCTTCACAGTTAGAAACTTTCTTCTCCATTCTCTAGCTGATTTTACATCATGTGGTGAGAAACACCATTCGATGCTAGGATTGTAATTAAAAACTATATACAGGGAAAATTATTTTCTGTTTGATTGCGAGACAGTGTCTAGCCCCACATTGATCTTCCATGCTTATACAGCAGTAGCATTTGGTGATAATATAATTCCACCATGAATCATATTTTAAAAATGTCTCAGTATGATTAGTATTGTGACAAATTGCAAGAAAAAATAATTCCTGACTTGTATGATATTTGATTAATGTTGTAATAAAGCACAGGTAAAAAGTAATTTTCTAACTTTGCATTGCATAATGTGTTTAGCTTTGCAGTACTAGATCTGATCTGCAGTCAAAGCAGTTGGGTATGAAAACTACCAGGGAATACATTAAGAGTGGAATGTTTATTTTGGACTGTCTTGTTCTGTAACAGTTTTCATTCTGTATTATCTTTATATTTTCAGGAAACCAGCAGTATTTTTGCACTCCTGGTAAACTGAGAGGGAGTAAAGTTAATGAAACCTGCAGCTCCAGTACAGCAGAAGACGCTTCTGAAGTAGTTTCATCAAGGAAAAAGAAATCATTGGCTCATAATTTTGCGGTTAGTGGTGTGACCTATCGTGAGCATAGGAGACCTGTGACAAGAAGTAAGGAACAAACTTTGTATTTCATGGGACTCAGTGTTTAACAGAATCTTTTTCTGTGCATTGCAACTATTGAATTAACTTGTGTGATGTTCTGTCTCAAGGTTACAAGAATCGTTTCCCAAGTTCAGATATGTCAGAAATTACTGATGAATGCTATCCAGGTGAGGTTTTTTGTTTATTTCTTTCTCAGCTTTTCAAACTAATTTATTTCATGAAGTCTTGCACAAGCATATAACATATCATAGCTATTTAGTAAAGAGTCTGTTATTCAGTTTTATATTAAAGGTAAGTGTTTGATATATTTTAAGTAAAGAAGTTTCATACTCAGGTCTTAATTCAACTGAAAATTTTGATGCAACCAGAGGAAATGAGCGCAGTTCAACAACGTCAAGTGCTAGGATATCTCATGAGACAAGACGCAAAAGTGAGTAACTGCCGTCTGCATGTTTTTGTTAAAAAAAGTGGGAGGGGTTTACCCAAAAGCCTGATCAGCCAAAGTATAACCCCTATAAAGTGATAAAATGATAAATGAGTTGATCAAACCCTTTCTTTTTGATTACATTATTTTGTATGGGAAATGCATGTCGGTCTAACATGATTTGACCTGATATGATACTTTTCTGGAATGCAAATATTGTGTTAGTCAGCAACTACGTGTAATTTAAAGAAACAGCATTTCTAGTCTATCATTTTGACTTACATTCGTTTCAGTTGAAGATTACCAAAATCTGTGGAAGCTAAATTGAATGTTTATTTTGTTCTCAGTTTGTAAAAGTAAAATAACTGAATGAATTTTTTCATGTAATTTGAATTTTACTGTGCATGTTGTTCATATTTAATATCTGTAACACCATTATAAATTTCATAGATTTTATGTGGTCTTTCGGTAGAAAATAATGTTAGTGTGTTGCATATTATTAAAAGGTTTGATTTCAGTTGCAGATGAAACCATTGACAACTTAAAAAAAATTAATTTGAATCCAAGAGAATCTTTCAAGGGAAAGAAGCTGATTAAGTCTTCCATTTCTGATTCTACCGGAGTGCCTGAAAAGGAAATGGCTGCCTCATCTAGCAGGAAAAGACAATTTAACATTTTCAGAGGAGTGAAGGAGACTTCATATACTGGGATGGAGGGTGCACGTATGTCAATGTCTTGAAAGTTCTCGCAAATCATGTTTATTGGTTTTTCCAAAAATATGTAGAAACATGGTTATACAATTTACACATGAAGTAGTAGTTTTGCTAAATTACAGGTAATGTGAAATATAGGCTGTAAAGTAGCAATTATACTTTGACTGTAATTTATGGACTTAGGCCCTGGCACGAGCGAAATGTTTAATGTTACTTACATAATAGTCGCCCATTAATTCTTTTGTAGATTCAGAGCAATCCAGTCCAAAATCTAATTTTAATGAGACATTTGAAATACAGAATGAAAGCACTAAATCAGATGTGAGGTTTCCATTGGAAGATAATATTAAAGAGCAAGGTGTCCAACCCAACAGCCTAAATTCTGCTGGAGGAAAAACAAGTTTTTCCCCTCTCAGTATTCAAGGACACAACAAGACATCAACACCGAAAGGTAAATATTAGTGAAAGTATAGAATTTATTTTTACAATGGATAAACATTCAATGAATTTGTGCAAACTTGGAATTGTGTCCTTGTATTGGCTAGCAATAACTCATTTTATTCTTAATATAATGAGTTAACCACTTCCCTTCTTATCCCACATTAACTCAGGTTAAAAAATTTCCCCTAAGTATATTATACCAAGTTCTTGGAATTTTGTGACTATAAATTAATATTCCTAGTTTTTCTTTCTTTCATTTATAGCAATAATTTGAGCTCATCAAATGTGACCAGTGATCAGTAGTGCACTGTGACAGATTTTTTTTTTATTTGTTCGTTTTAATTCATGGCTTTTGCTAATAGTTGTGATCACAGATGTAACATATTGTTCTGTGATTATTGACCATGCGACAGTTAATGATATTAAAATGGAAGATATTTTTGTTGATGAGTCTGGATGTAATACTTCACATCAAAAGCAAAAATTATAGATTCAGACAGTTCTGTTGATTTTCAAGGTCTACAGTGCTTGGAAGTTAAAAATTGTGGTCTGCCACAAAATCTGTGATTAGTCCGAGGTAATAATGAGTCTGTTTGTATGCATTAAATTGGTAGTTGTCAGCTTATGATGAAGCATGTGTCATTCCATCAACCATATTGTGCGTGATGTATGTGGTGCCAATGTTTTTGAGTTTGTATATTTGCATTTTTAATGTGTTTTGTTTTATAGACGATACTCGTGACAAAGACAACGAAATCTCAGATTTTGGATCTGTGAAAGCCGCGTTTGAAGTACCGTGTCCAAGTGATGTGAGCCTTCTCGCGTCTAATGCGGAAAACAACTATAGAGGGAAGAAGAAGAAGAGGAGGTCTTCCTCATGCCCACATGAAGGAGTAGACAAAAATATGCATTCAAAAGCAGTATTTTTCAGCCCAGCAGCAAAATTGGTTAAATCTCCTGCGTCTTGTCAACCTAAAAGAGGTACTTTAATTACTACAGCGATAATGTTTTAGTACAACTTTGAAATATCACTTACTGGTATTTTACTGTTTCTTAGGTACACCATTGAAGGGCACAAAAATACCAAAATTTGTCAGAAAGATGCCAGATTTCACAAACATTCATAAAAAGGAATTTGAAAAAATGGAGTCTGTTGTCGATTGTCATCATCGGAAACTTGCCAGAGCTAAAATGCTGTTCTCTCCAAAAGCGACGAAGGTAAGACGAGCGTCTTAATATGCGTTGTCCGTAGATTAATGGACGATTTGAAGCATATGTAATTATTTATTTATAGCACACATGAGAAACTTTCGTACTGCAAAGCAGTCGCACAACATTAAAGTTTATTGTTTTGTTTTTTTCACATGTCATGAAATTTCACATGAGTTTCTCTCCGAGGTCTTCAAATAGTCCGCTACTTTATGGACACCTTGGTACTGCTAGTGTGTGTGTGTGTGTGTGGTTCTTCTTCAATTGGTGTGAATGTGTGTGTGTACTTCACCAAAAAAGTATTTTCCTTTATTTTGTACCTTAAATGTGACATTGTTTTGTTATACTTCCAGGGTGTACAGTCTGTGATGGTTTTTACTGCCCAATCATCTGCGACCAAACAAATGCCATCAAGGAATGCAATGACACGTGTGTATTGTTTGCCCTTCCATTTAATTTTTGCTAGTAATTCTTTATTTTCTTAATACTCATTCATATCTTTACTTTTTGGTTTCAGAGACAAATGTGTTTCCTATGAATGAGATGAACAGGAACATCCTGAAGAAGGCTGATGGAGAGAAACCGCGTAATGGACGGATAATTCAACGATGTGATGTTAAAGAAATTGTTACAAAAAAGTTGCCATTGCAAAAGAAACGGTGCGTCTAAAGACATGTAATACTTGTTGATTCTTTTATATAGTTTGGATCACATTCACTGAGTCCCCATTCAGTTCTGTGCGATCATTTTTGTGTTTTTGTCCGTTCATTGGATAAATCCAGAAATGAAAGAAAACCACTTCGTACGTCTTTATTAATTCTCGTGTTATTGAAATGTCACCAGATTACGTATTTAGCACAAATGTCTGCCTCCCCCTACTTGTTTACGAAACATTTTAATTTTATTTCCATTTGCAGAGCGGGAGAACGTGAAAAGTCCAGAACTGTGCTTCGTGGAGTCAGGCTGAACCGAAGATTCGAATTGCAGATGGCGCATAGAAAACTGAACTGAAGATTATTATAAGAATTTGTTGTATTGTATTTTAAAAAATTTGTCAACTTCTTTCCATGTTACGTATTTGTGCATTTCCATAGCTTATTTCCGAATACTTGGGTAAAATTCTTTTGAGTGTTTTTACGTCTTGTGAAATTTTGGTAGTACAGTTGCTATGAAGCTTTTCTCAACATTAAATTAGAAAGATAAAGATTCCCTCGTCTTACATTTACATCAAGTTAATTTAACTTGGTCCTTAGTTTTTTAACCACTTACCTTTAACATTTGCGATCCTTCCCTCGGTGCAATACTGAAACATAATTGGTATGATGTGTAAATGCCATAATTGTTCTAGAAAATGCAAGATTTGTTTTTGTTTTTGTTTTACAGCTGGGACTAGGAGCAAAAAAGAGTGTTAACAGCATTAGCATGAAACTGTAAGGGTTTTCATTGTATATTTAAAATTTAAGTAACAAATGAAAACACAAATTGAAGCATTGTTTTAACAGCATAAACATTTTATCATAGTAACTATATAATGCTAACTTGTACTCATGTGCAGATTTATTTTCATTTGTATCTATTTTATATAGCACAAAAATTGTTGATTTTTATTTGTTTGATACAGGACTTGAACTCGGGGTACTGTACGGAAAAGAGTAAAGTTTGTTTTTATTACCGCATCAGACTACATTTGCGTTATTTCCAAATACCTGTAAAG